TCGAAAACTAAACATTGCTATTACAAGAATTTCAAATCCCTATGGACACCCTAATATTCTTGCAGAATTTATAGCGGCACAATTACAGAATAGAGTTTCTTTTCGCAAAGCAATGAAAAAAGCTATTGAATTAACGGAACAGGCGGATCCAAAAGGAATTCAAGTACAAATTGCAGGGCGTATCGACGGAAAAGAAATTGCACGCGTCGAATGGATCAGAGAAGGTAGGGTTCCTCTACAAACCATTGGAGCTAAAATTGATTATTGTTCCTATACAGTTCGAACTATATACGGGGTATTAGGAATCAAGATTTGGATATTTGTAGCCGCAGAATAATAAGACTTTATGTATCTTTACATTCTATCCAGCGATGGAAATAGACCAAAAAAGACCAAACTCTTTCATTTTTTTGATGTTCAATCAAAACAAAAATGAGCAATTCTAAATTCTATAGGGTTGAATAAAAAATCGATTAATCGTTTTATATAATTGCTATGCTTAGTGTGTGACTCGTTGGTTTTTTTAGTTTTAGTACTAGGATTCAAAAAAAAGGAACGAGCCATAGTATGAACGTATGAACTAATAACTTATAACACTAATAACCAACTCATTGCTTCGCATTATCTGGATACAAAGAAGCAGTCAAGATATAATATTGGTTATATCTTTGTAGCAACTGAAATCCTTTTTTGCATAAACTTTGCATAAACATAAAAAAACCAATCTGATTTTGAGTTCTGAAGTTATAAGTTGTGAAGCCAAATAGAAAAGTATGCGGATAAGGGATAAATGGAAGGATGAGAGAAAGAGAGAAGAGAGAAAGAAAATATCACTGATATATAATTCCAATATGTAAGGTCTATGAGTCATCTCATAAAACAAAAGCAATGTAATAAGCATTAATAATGATTCATCCATAATTAGATGAATCCGCTCATAGAACAAAAAAAATCAAGAGCCTCGAGCCAATAAAGACTGAGAAAATTGACTTAAGAACAAATTTCATTAAGGACTCCGTTGGAGAATTAAGACCTAACCATTAATCAAGAAGCAATGGGAACGATGGAACCCGTGAATGCAGAAGATTCTATTGAAAATGAATCTTAATAATTCATTGGGCAGGATGGCGGAACGGACCAGGAACCTATTCTTTTATTCGGAGAGGTCGTGGACTAACCTTAGAACTGAAATAGATATTGAAAGAGTAAATATTCGCCCGCGAAAGTTTGACTTTATTGGATTGATAAATTTTGGTCGATCGTATATGAGAAAAGGCAAAACAAAAGAAAGATTCGTTATAACGTTATAAAAAATTATAACGTTATAAAAAAAAACGACATTGACATTATCTATAAGACATTGACATTATCTATAAATAGAATACATGTTTAATTATAGATCTATAATATAGATCTAACTAAACACGATATATAAATTTCGAATAGATTAATTAGATGAAATTTCAAAGAATCCTATGATTCAGTATATTCTTTATTAAATATATGTATATCGGAATAAAATCTTTTTTAGCCGTTTCATTCGCGAGGAGCTGGATGAGAAGAAACTCTCACGTCCAGTTCTGTAGTAGAGATGGAATTGAGAAAGACCCATCAACTATAACCCCAAAAGAACAAGATTCCGTAAACAACATAGAGGAAGAATGAAAGGAATTTCTTATCGAGGTAATCATATTTGTTTCGGTAGATATGCTCTTCAAGCGCTTGAACCCGCTTGGATCACATCTAGACAAATCGAAGCAGGGCGACGCGCAATGACACGAAATGTACGCCGTGGGGGAAAAATATGGGTACGTGTATTTCCAGATAAACCAGTTACAGTAAGACCTACGGAAACTCGTATGGGTTCCGGGAAAGGATCCCCCGAATATTGGGTAGCTGTCGTTAAACCAGGTAGAGTACTTTATGAAATGGGTGGAGTAGCCGAAAATATAGCTCGAAAGGCTATTTCAATAGCGGCGTCCAAAATGCCTATAAGAACTCAATTCATTATTTCTGGATAGGAATGTTGAACCAAAGGAAAGAAGTCTTGGGTATAAAAAAAACAATTGCAGGTTTTCTTTTTTTTTTTTTTACTTCGTCCTTTGCTTTACTTTACATTAAAAAAAACAGATTCAAAAAATGATATGATTCAACCTCAAACCCATTTGAATGTAGCAGACAACAGCGGGGCCCGAGAATTAATGTGTATTCGAATCCTAGGAGCTAGTAATCGCCGATATGCTCATATCGGTGACGTTATTGTTGCTGTGATCAAGGAAGCAGTACCAAATACGCCTCTACAAAAATCCGAAGTGATCAGAGCTGTAATTGTACGTACTTGTAAAGAACTCAAGCGTGACAACGGTATGATAATACGATATGATGACAATGCTGCAGTTGTCATTGATCAAGAAGGAAATCCAAAAGGAACTCGAGTTTTTGGCGCGATCGCACGGGAATTGAGACAGTTAAATTTTACTAAAATAGTTTCATTAGCACCTGAGGTATTATAATACGAAATCGCGATAGAGTGACAGTCTTTAATTAAAATAGATAAATTTAGTAGATTATGTCTCACGCATATACTTTTAATAATTTTCATAAATAAAACGAACATGTTGATTATATAAAAATTTGGAAGTAACAATTATTTGCGTTTATCATGGGTAAGGACACTATTGCTGACATAATAACTTCTATACGAAATGCTGACATGGATAGAAAAGGAACGGTTCGAATAGCGTCTACTAACATCACCGAAAACATTGTTAAAATACTTTTACGAGAGGGTTTTCTCGAAAACGTAAGGAAACTTGTGGAAACCAACAAATCTTTTTTGGTTTTAACCCTACGACATAGAAGGAATAGGAAAAGACCATATAGAACCAGTTTAAATTTAAAACGAATCAGTCGACCTGGTCTCCGAATCTATTCGAACTATCAACGAATTCCGAGAATTTTAGACGGGATGGGGATTGTAATTCTCTCTACTTCTCGGGGTATAATGACAGACCGTGCGGCTCGACTAGAAAGAATTGGCGGAGAAATTTTGTGTTATATATGGTAATCTTTCTGGTACCCGAATTATATCCGGAACTTCCTAATTTGTGAAAAAAAAAAAACGAAAAAAGACAAGTTGTCTAATATCACTCCTCCTACATTAGTTGATACTTCAAGGGGGTTTTTCCTGGAATGAAAGAAGAAAAATGAATGGATTCATGAAGGTTTAATTACTGAAGCACTTCCCAATGGTATGCTCCGGGTTCGTTTATATACTGAAGTCAGATTCGAAGTTATGTTTCAGGAAGGGCTCGACACAGTTTTATACGTGTACTATCTGGAGATAGAGCCAAAAGAGTCAAAATTGAAGTAAGTCGTTATGGTTCAAATGGAGGGCGTATAATTTATAGACTCCACAACAAGGATTCGAATGATTAGGCGGTTTTTCAACATTCCTTTCATGAGGATACAAGTCACCGTTCAAAAATTTCAAGAAACTTATTTTCTTCCAATAAGTAGATTCGCAATTCAGTTAAGGAATAACAACTATGAAAATAAGGGCCTCCGTTCGTAAAATTTGTGAAAAATGTCGACTGATCCGTAGGAGAGGACGCATTATAGTAATTTGTTCCAACCCGAGACATAAACAAAGACAAGGATAATCTTTCGAAAAGGTACTCTCTAAAGGAACCGATGAACAAATCAAAATAAAAGATCTGTTTTGACATGAAATGGATATATCCATATATCTAACTTATATTTATGAAATGATAAAATATGGCAAAATCTATACCAAAAAGTGTTTCACGTAGGACTGGACGGATTGGTTCACGTAAAAGTGCACGTCGAATACCAAAAGGCGTTATTCATGTTCAAGCAAGTTTCAACAACACCATTGTGACTATTACAGATGTACGGGGGCGGGTGATTTCTTGGTCCTCCGCTGGGACTTGTGGATTCAGGGGTACAAGAAGAGGGACACCCTTTGCTGCTCAAACCGCAGCAGGAAATGCTATTCGAGCAGTAGCAGATCAAGGTATGCAACGAGCAGAAGTCATGATAAAAGGTCCGGGTCTCGGAAGAGATGCAGCATTACGAGCTATTCGTAGAAGTGGTATACTTTTAAGTTTCGTACGGGATGTAACCCCTATGCCACATAATGGCTGCAGACCCCCTAAAAAAAGACGGGTGTAGAAATAAACATTGAAGAGATTTCAAGAGAAATAAATGACTCAAAGATCTGATCAAATAATATTACTATGGTTCGAGAGAAAGTAAAAGTATCTACTCGGACACTACAGTGGAAGTGTGTTGAATCAAGAGCAGACAGTAAGCGTCTTTATTATGGACGCTTTGTTCTGTCTCCACTTATGAAAGGTCAAGCCGACACAATAGGCATTGCAATGCGAAGAGCTTTGCTTGGAGAAACAGAAGGAACATGTATTACACGCGCAAAATCTGAGAAAATTCCACATGAATATTCTACCATAGTAGGTATTCAAGAATCAGTACATGAAATTTTAATGAACTTGAAAGAAATTGTATTGAGAAGCAATATATATGGCACTCGTGACGCGCTTATTTGTGTCAAGGGTCCTGGATATGTAACTGCTCAAGATATCCTCTTACCACCTTCTGTGGAAATCGTTGATAATACGCAGCATATAGCTAGTCTAACGGAACCAATTGATTTGTGTATTGGATTACAAATCGAGAGGAATCGAGGATATAATAATATAAAAAGGCCAAATAACTTTCAAGACGGGAGTTATCCTATAGATGCTGTATTCATGCCTGTTCGAAATGCGAATCATAGTATTCATTCGTATGGGAATGGAAATGAAAAACAAGAGATCCTTTTTCTAGAAATATGGACAAATGGAAGTTTAACTCCTAAAGAAGCACTTCATGAAGCCTCCCGAAATTTGATTGATTTATTTATTCCCTTTCTACAGGCAGCAGAAGAAAACTTCCATTTAGAGCACAATCAATACAAGGTTACTTTACCTTTTTTTACTTTTCATGATCGATTGGCTAAACTAAAGAAAAAGAAAAAAGAAATAGCATTGAAATCCATTTTTATTGACCAATCAGAATTGTCTCCCAGGATCTATAATTGTCTTAAAAAGTCCAATATACATACATTATTCGACCTTTTGAATAACAGTCAAGAAGACCTTATGAAAATAGAACATTTTCGCATAGAAGATGTAAAACAGATATTGGACATTCTAGAAAATAAATAAAAAAGCATTTCACAATTGATTTACTGAAAAGAAAAATCAAATAAGTTTTAAATCAATTGAATCAATTGAATTTATTTCATTTTTTTTCTATTTTTTTTTTTTCTAAAGAATAAAAAAAAATAGAAAAACTGAAACGATTTGCACCTTTAGCACAATTTAGATATTCGGACCGGAATTTAATTGAATAGAAGTATCTAGGGAGAATTCACTTTGACTTTGAAGCGATTACTCCCTAGATACACACGTCATCATATTTTACAATTTGACAATAGAATCAATTTAAAAAAGACCTAAAGTTAGGGATTTATCAATAGGTAATGTTGCTCCAATACCCAAGCACAGGGCCACTGCGGTACCAATCAAAAAGACGGTTGTTGCTACTGGACGGCGAAATGGATTTTGGAATTTATTAACATTTTCCAAAAAGGGTACTGTTAATAATCCCGCGGGTACTGAAACCATTAAAAGAACACCCAACAGCTTGTTGGGTACTGTACGAAGTATTTGAAATACGGGAAAGAAATACCATTCGGGTAATATTTCCAAAGGAGTTGCAAATGGATCCGCGGGTTCACCAATCATTGATGGTTCTAGAACCGCTAAGCCTACGTTACACGCAATAGTACCGAGAATTACTACCGGAAAAATATATAAAAGATCGTTGGGCCATGCAGGTTCTCCGTAATAATTATGACCCATACCTTTAGCCAACTTAGCTCTTAATACAGGATCATTCAAGTCAGGTTTTTTTGTTATTGGGATAGGTGAATTATTATAGATCCATCCCCCCCAAGAACCGGACATGATAATTTTTCATCATCCGGCTCAAGCAAGAATCAACCCAACCAAGGGGATACATAGAAAAAAAACCATACATATAGATTTTATAAAATCTATATTTAGCCATATCCACACATATATGAATGATTCTATATGTAAGATTACCGGCTTCCATTTTACGAAGTTGCAACGATCCATTGCAAGGAATTCCGTTCTTACAGGAAAATGCTCAATACCCAAGTAGGCTTACAAAATTGATCATGATCAAGAGCTTTCTGGGTCGTCTCAGCCCTTTGGATTCGCCCTTATTCCCAAAATAGATCGAGATGGGATTTTTTTTTCGCGTACAAAGGATTTACTTGTTACTAATACAGTCTAGCCGCTGTTCTTCTTTAGATCCCTTGTTTCACTCCGATAGTATCATAAATCGGATCGATGCAGAAGAAATGAATGCATTTCCATACTATTAAGTAAGTAAAATAGTTTAAGTAAGTAAAATAGTTAAAAGATAATCTGGATTATGACACATCACTTATTCTACTGGATCTTACGGAGCCTGTTCATGCACAGCATGCTTGGGTCTGATCATAGAAAAGATTCTCTTCAAGACCAGCCTAGCCCTATCCTCTTCATGGGGGGCGGTTGGAACAAAGACACATTTGGTTGTGAATTCCAATGTAGCAGATAAAAGCATATTTCTGCACGGCTCAATCAATAGTTCAAGTCACACACTCCCATAATCCATTTTCTCTTCGGAGAATTCCCTTCAACTATTCGTCCATGTCAAATAAATAATACAATATTGTGGAGTTGAGGGAAAATTTCCAAATACATGTCTTATTCTTTGTCAATAATCCATATTTGTAGCAATGAAATATTATTGTTCCTCCCCCAAGTAAAGTAATAAGATAAATGATTGATTACAAATCTCTATGATCTATATTCTTTATAAAGGACCAGAAATACCTTGCTTACGTATCATTAGAAAATGCATTAACATAAATACGGCAGTAAGAAGAGGTAATACAAAAGTGTGCAAACTATAAAAACGAGTCAAGGTGGACTGTCCCACACTAGCACTTCCGCGCAATAACTCTACTAAAGGCGATCCTATTACCGGAATCGCTTCCGGTACGCCCGTTACAATTTTGACTGCCCAATACCCAATTTGGTCCCAAGGTAAAGAATAACCTGTTACACCAAAAGATGCGGTCAATACAGCCAGAACCACGCCTGTAACCCAAGTCAATTCGCGAGGTTTTTTAAAACCACCTGTGAGATACACACGAAATACGTGCAGGATTATCATTAGGACCATCATACTTGCCGACCATCGATGAACCGATCGGATTAACCAACCAAAGTTAGCTTCCGTCATTATGTATTGAACAGAAGCAAAAGCCTCAGTAACGGTCGGACGGTAGTAAAAAGTCATAGCAAAGCCTGTAGCTACTTGTACTAAAAAACAAGTAAGCGTAATTCCTCCTAGACAATAAAATATGTTGACATGAGGAGGAACGTATTTACTAGTTATATCATCTGCAATCGCCTGAATCTCGAGACGTTCTTCGAACCAATCGTAAACTTTATTGAGATAGGTAACCCGGGGAGACTCCCCCTCCGAGAACCGTATATGAGAATTTCATCTCGTACAGCTCAAACAAAAACACCCAAATACTGGGTGAAAAGGGTATGGAATAGAAAATTGGAAACTTCTTAATCTTCTGATTCAATCTTATCTAAAGATACGAAAGAGTCAAAATCAGAAAGCTCTTCTTTGTGGTTATAATTAGAATGCCAAAAAATCAAGTCGGCTCCCTTGTCTTTATGTTGATCGTTACAGGCCTCTTGAATCTTCTATTTACCTATTTCTTTTTCTTTGATTTGTTATTTTTATTTGTATGGAATGCGGTTTTACTTTTGTTTTCTTTATTATTGATAGGAATTTTCTTGTTAAGACCCTATGAATCAATTGAAACCTCAGATTCATACTAGAACCACGATGATTCAATAAAACCTTCAAACTAAGTCCAAAGATTCCCCGAGTAAGAACCATTGGATCATCATTTATTCAACGAGGAGAATAGATAAACTTACTAAAAATACAAAGAAACATTTGTCCTTTGAGCAAAATCAAAGCAGAAATGGGAATTTGAAAGATTTTTCTTCTTTCAATTTCTAACTTTTTCTAATTTTGGAATCCGGCCGCGAGGTCTGAATATTAAGTATGAATCATAGTTCGAATACTTCGTGATCTATTTCATGTATTCCGTGCTCCAGATACTAGAATAAATATCCGACGGGGTAAAACCATCTCTATCAAGACGACAGACCCATTCTCTGTACTATCAATAGGATCAATTATAACAAGTCACACACTCATATTCCGGAAATACAGAAACAAAAAAATTGCGCGGTCGAACTACCAAGTCGAACTACCAAAAAAAAATGAGCTAAAATCAAAATCCGGGACCTAAATGCTTCCCTTTTTGTATTTAAAAGCTAGGATTTTGGGGTTCTTGTAACTCTAATTCAGTGAAATTCCATCCAGTAAAACGGAAGAATTATAAATCTCCAAAATAATAGATAGGAATATCGCAAATAGGGCCATTGCGACACCCATCAAAGGAGTAGTTCCCCATCCAGGAGCTACTTTACCATATTCCGAATTCAATGGTTTCAATAAATCCCCTACCGCAGTTCGTCTTGGACCAGATCTAGAACTACCCTCAACAGTTTGTGCAGCCATAAATCCTATTTTGTATTCATTGAGATCTGTTGACTTTGTATACCATTCCGTTGTAAATAAACGATCTTATCATAGATCCATTGTGGTCTTGAAATTATATAAGAATGGAAACAGCAACCCTAGTCGCCATCTCTATATCTGGTTTACTTGTAAGTTTTACTGGGTACGCCTTATATACTGCTTTTGGGCAACCCTCTCAACAACTAAGGGATCCATTCGAAGAACACGGGGACTAGTTGACGTAATGGGCCTCCCAATATTGCAATATTGGGAGGCCCATTACGTCAATTGAGATAATGAAAAATCATTTCATTTTTTTAGTTGGAACTTTAGGCGGTTCTCGAAAAAAGATAGCGAAAAAAATGATCCCTAAAGTCGAGACTAAGAGGAATGTATAAACCAATGCTTCCATAAATTCGATCGCGGTTTACAATTATAGCTTCCATACCTGTTTATTTGGGATTATCTCCCGAATTAAAGAAAAAAGAAGAATCAAAGAAAAGGCGGCATTTTCAATCCAGATTTCTTCAGTACCTTATGTAAAATCACAAACAGAAAATCGAAACCAGAAGCGAAAAATAACAGAGCAGCATCAGACTATTTGCCTTCTTGTCGTTGGATCTCCAAGTTTTTGGAATGCTCCAAATTCCACTTGAGCATCCAAATCTGGGTCAATACCAGCAAAAACATCTCTGAACAGGGTTCTAGCACCATGCCAAATGTGTCCGAAGAAGAAGAGCAGAGCAAACGAAGCATGTCCAAAAGTAAACCAACCCCTTGGACTGCTACGAAAAACACCATCGGATTTCAAAGTAGCACGATCTAATTCAAAAATTTCACCCAATTGAGCACGTCTAGCATATTTTTTCACAGTAGCCGGATCACTATAACTCACTCCATTCAGTTCACCACCATAGAACTCAACAGTTACACCTACTTGTTCGACACTATACTTCGATTCTGCCCTTCTAAAAGGAACATCGGCTCTAACAATTCCATCTCCGTCTACCAAAACAACTGGAAATGTTTCAAAAAAAGTAGGCATACGACGTACAAAAAGTTCACGCCCTTCTTTATCTCTAAAGATCGGGTGTCCTAACCACCCGACAGCTATTCCATCCCCGTTATCCATTGAACCCGCTCTGAATAATCCCCCTTTCGCCGGATTATTTCCGATGTAATCATAAAAAGCTAATTTTTCAGGAATTTTAGACCAAGCTTCTGATAAACTTTGATTTTCGGCTAGTCCAGCACTAACTCTTCGATATATTTCTTGCTGAAAGTATCCCTGATCCCATTGATAACGGGTGGGACCAAATAATTCGATGGGGGTAGTTGCTGAACCATACCACATAGTTCCAGCAACAACAAAAGCTGCAAAAAAGACAGCAGCGATGCTGCTGGAAAGAACGGTTTCAATATTGCCCATACGTAATCCTTTGTATAGACGTTGAGGCGGACGGACACTAAGATGGAATAAGCCTGCTAAGATGCCCAATGTCCCTGCTGCAATATGATGAGAGGCTATTCCTCCTGGAACAAAAGGGTCAAAACCTTCCACACCCCACGCTGGATTTACAGCCTGTACCTTTCCAGTTAGTCCATAAGGGTCGGACACCCATATTCCAGGACCATACAATCCTGTTACATGAAATGCGCCAAACCCAAAACAAGCTACTCCGGAGAGAAATAAATGAATTCCAAAGATCTTAGGCAAATCCAAAGAAGGTTTTCCTGTACGTTCATCACCAAATATTTCTAGATCCCAATACACCCAATGCCAAATAGCTGCCAAGAAGCACAAGCCAGAAAACACAATATGTGCCCCAGCTACACCTTCGTAACTCCAAATACCCGGATTCGTTATCGTCCCTCCTGTAATACTCCAACCGCCCCATGAATTGGTTATTCCTAAACGAGTCATGAAGGGTATAACGAACATACCTTGTCTCCACATTGGATCAAGAACGGGGTCGGAGGGATCAAAAACTGCTAATTCATATAGAGCCATTGAACCGGCCCAACCAGCAACCAGAGCTGTATGCATTATATGGACAGAAAGCAAACGACCGGGATCATTCAATACGACGGTATGAACACGATACCAAGGCAAACCCATGGGAATACCCCTTTATCAACAAAAAATAGACACTATGTAACTTTATTGCATTATTGCATTGAAAAAAAAACTATGCTATGGACCGCCCTTTTTTTTCAGCCGATTCTCTCGGAAAAAGGATTAATATTTGTTCTATTCTTTTAGTATTTAGTAATAATGGAACAGTTCGGTTCGTAGGAAAAAAGAGAAGCAGATCTATTCTATACTCGATAAGTACCAATACGCAATGGGGGTTGATTCCCTTTTCTATGAGCGAATGCATCTATATTTGGTCATCATTCAAAGGGCCTATTCGTAAGAATTTTCCTTTCTTCATTCTGTTTTCCTTTACTTTATTTTCTGAACTTATTCAATCTATATATAAAATATGATAAAGGTCGATATTATTAAGATAATAAGCACATTATTACGCTTCCACATCAAAGTGAAATAGAGTACTTAATTCTTTTTTCTTTCAGTTTATGCCTATTGGTGTTCCAAAAGTACCTTTTCGAAGTCCCGGAGAGGAAGATGCATCTTGGGTTGACGTATAGTGCGACTTGTCAGATATATTGGGTCATATGGGATTTCCCCATTCTCTCCCTCGATGGAGATATCCTCTGTTTCGCCCCCAAAAAAAAATTGAATTATCAAAAATTTGTAGCGTGAAGCGCAATGAAGTGCAAATAGATCCGTTTTGTGAGGAGGTATCTAGATTAAATAATATTAGCAATTAAAATAATTTATGGTCGGCTTGGCTGGACCAATAAAATGAAGTATCCAGGCTCCGTTTAAAAAACCCAATTGGTAATATATTTATGATTATTACTTATATCATAAACGATTCGATTTCGTTAAATAGGAATGATCTCAAACTGTTAATCAATCGAATCCAAAAGGGAATGAATATGAATACGTCGAATATTTAGCAGAAGGCATGAAAGAAATGAATTGAAAAAAGGGGGGGTAATAGCAAAAAAAAGACGTGGTATTGGGGTCATTTGTCCTATATGGACAAATCAAAATCGGGCAGATACTTACTCGGAGTAGAGCATAAACCTAAAAAAATGGAAGAAGCCCATTCAGGAACAAGAAAATGACATCGTGATTTTTGAATCGGATCTCGATGAAAAAATACATCAATGAAAGGTTAGTTCGATAAGTTTAGTGAATTGTTTTTTCTATTATAGGAAAACCCGCCAAAGTCATCGTTCTTGAAAAATGGAAGAAAAGCCCCTTCGCTAGAAGTTAGAAAGAACCCGCTATGAAAAAAGAAAGAGGGCTGGAGTTTACACATTGATTTTTTTCGCATGTTGAACCGTATGCATCAAAAGGTGCCTGTACGGCTCCTAAAGGATACAATTTGATCCTAATCAACCGACTTTATCGAGAAAGATTACTTTTTTTAGGCCAAGAAGTTGATAGCGAGATCTCGAATCAACTTATTGGTCTTATGGTATATCTCAGTATAGAGAATGATACCGAGGATCTTTATTTGTTTATAAACTCTCCTGGCGGCTGGGTAATACCCGGAATAGCTATTTATGATACTATGCAATTTGTGCGACCAGATGTACACACAATATGCATGGGATTGGCCGCCTCAATGGGGTCTTTTATCCTGGTCGGAGGAGAAATTACCAAACGTCTAGCATTCCCTCACGCTTAGCGCCAATGAGTTTTTTATTTGAGAGAAAAAAGAAGACTATGCCTTCACCATATGAATTATTAATATTCAGTAATAATAGCATGGCACTTCGAATTCGATATCCAAATTCTTTATTGTTTTTTTTTTTTCAAAAGATTCTCGATTATGTATCGAAAGAGTAGTATGAGACAAACGAAGGGTATTTACGACTTTATCTTACCTATCGTAGGCCTATTTCAGCGTCACAAACTTTTTTTACACCAGAGGATTATTAACAGGATTTAGGTTATCAAAGAGTACGAAAATAAAAAAAAAGAAAGAAACTTTGGGATTGCTGAATAACAGCCGAAATAAATATAGAAAGCAACGGGGCCATCATAGTATTTTTGAACTCCTCCAAAAAAAAGAAGGGTGGTAATTGGATCATTTACCGATCTGGGTATAAGAGACCCCATATTTTCTCTTTCTTCGATGAAAGGTAAAAAAGTGAAGTCCATTGGAGAGCCGTATGCAATGCGCAAAAATGCCCGTACGGTTGTTCAATTCTATCTTTTTCTTATTCTTTCTCTCTTCCCCTCCACGGATCGTCGAGCTATAGGAATCTTTTATTATGTTATATTATCTATATCGTTTTATTATGTTATCTTATCTATATAATCAGGGTAATGATCCATCAACCTATTGCCGCTTTTTATGAGGCACAAACGGGCGAATTTATCCTGGAAGCGGAAGAACTACTGAAACTGCGCGAAACCCTTACAAGGGTTTATGTACAAAGAACAGGCAAGCCCTTATGGGTTGTATCCGAAGACATGGAAAGGGATGTTTTTATGTCAGCAACAGAAGCCCAAGCTCATGGAATTGTTGATCTTGTAGCGGTTGTATAAAAAATAGCAGTGATTTCACGCAAATACACGATTTCCGATTTTATCTTCTTACTTCTTAAGGGTTTAATATTCTATATAATCTATTAAATAGAAGAAATTCATAATCGTCCGGTTAGGATCGATCTAAACCAACCCCTAATGTATAATTCAGCATGCCAACTATTAAACAACTTATTAGAAACCCAAGACAGCCAATCAGAAACGTCACGAAATCCCCCGCTCTTGGGGGATGCCCTCAGCGCCGAGGAACATGTACGAGGGTGTATGTGCGACTCGTTTAAATCATGGGTTGAGACAAAACAAAAGAAAGAAAACGAATTTTCCAATATCAATGATCAGTACCATTGAATCGGATAGAATGGAAGAACTCCATTCACGATCTAAAACTAAAAAGGATAGATCTATCATATCTTTCTATTGTGTATGAAATTTATGGTTTCCATTGGTGCAAATTCAATCACTTCAATTTGCAATTTAAGATGAGAAAGAATTCCCCATTGGTAACAAATAGTTATCCATTAAGCGGGGGGAAATCCTATTTAAAAAGCGGAAAGATTATGTTTCTACTCTTGCAAGAACGGACTAACAGGGTCAGCTACCCAACCAAACTTCATAATTAAATACCGTTACTGTATAAGGTATATCTCGTTAGGAAAGACCTATTACTGGAAAATTCATGGGTAGAGCCAAAGAGTGGTAACTGTACAAGTTACCAATAATAGGATTGATTAAATGAGGGAAAGGGCTCCGGTGTATAGAAAGGACCTCACCGTTTAAGAAGTAACCATAGAGACGATGGAACCCACAATTTCTTTATCTATTTCTATTTACTACTTTATTTTATTTCCAATGCGCCTAGAAAAAAGGAAAAAAGTGTGGTCGGGAAGGTTATAGTAGCAAAAGCCATTGGAATTTTCATCTTATAAATTGGAAGAATCCGTTTTGTTATTAATAGACTAGGAAAGGGGAAATGAATAACTGAAAGAAAGGAAATCAATTAGTTATTCATCAAAGTTTCATTTATTCAATGACCAGAATTAGACGAGGATATATAGCTCGGAGACGTAGAACAAAACTTCGTTTATTTGCCTCAAGCTTTCGCGGGGCTCATTCAAGACTTACTCGAACAATTACGCAACAGAAAATAAGAGCTTTGGCTTCGGCTCATCATGATAGAGATAGGAAAAAAAGAGATTTTCGTCGTTTGTGGATCACTCGAATAAATGCAGTAATTCGGCGAAATCGAGTATCCTATATTTATAGTAGATTAATACACAATCTGTATAAGGGGCAGTTGCTTCTTAATCGTAAAATACTTGCACAAATAGCTATATCAAATAGTAATTGTCTTTATATGATTTCCAATGAGATCATAAAATAAGGAGGTTGGAAGGAATCTTCCAGAATCTTTTAAATGGAGTTCTCTGGAGAATGAACTCCGGGAAGGTAGAATAGAAATTACTATGATAAAATCGGGATAATATGATAAAATCGTCAAAATGAGCGAACACGTTCAATAAAAAAAGATTTATTCTTATTCCCCAATTCTTTTTTTTCTTACAACACAACGGATTCCAGGATTTGTTGACCAAAACATCCAGGTGTTTGAGTTCTGATTGGAATTTTGATTCAATTGAGGAGTAAGCCTATTTTTTTCTGGTTCTAAGACCTGTAGTTCTAGCGGTCGACTCACTTCTTTCAAATTGTTTCTCATTATTAAGAAAAGGTAACGAAGATAAAATACGAGCTTGTTTTATAGCAATAGTAATTAATCGTTGTTCTTTTAAGGTCAATCTATTCACTCGTCTAGATAATATTTTTCCTTGTTCACTAATAAATCGACTAATTAAACTCATGTTTCTATAATCAATTCGATCCCCCGATTGGATCGGGGGCAAACGCCTACGAAAAGATCGCTTGGATTTAAGAAAGAGCCGCTTGGATTTATCCATAATTTTTTTATTCCTTAGCCTTCAAATCCTAATCGTTAAAATCCTATTCCGATCCAATCAAAAATGATTTCTAAAATGAATTAATAGGATTTGCTTGTCTCTATTTAGTTGTTTCTATTTAAATATATGAATAATAGATCGATATATATATCTAATTTTTTTTCATGTTCCTTGGAAGAGTGACACACAAGAACTCGGTTCGATCTATATCTATTTCTTTATCTCCCCATGAATTGTATGTTTGGAACAATAGGGACAGAATTTTCTCAATTCCAATCGACTAGGTGTATTGTGTCGATTCTTTTGAGTAATATATCTGGAAATACCCGCCAATTCCTTATTAACACCGTTTCCAACACAACCGGTACATTCCAAAATAACCCTTACTCGGACATCTTTACCCTTGGCCATGAACCTCCTTTCGGGTTTTGATTCACCCAACTTTTCTATTTTCCGATCCAAAGCGAATAAGAAGAAAGGAACCAAAAAAAATAGAAGTTGCTAACAACTCAAAATCCAATTCTGAAATAAAGATTTTGTTGCAATCCATATAGTAAATAGTAAGTAATACAAAAATTTCTAACTATATTTCTACTCACAGTACAGTATTTCATTTAAGTATCTTGTATTGTATGATACTCTTCCCCTAGCCACATTTCCATTTCGCTTTTCTTTTAACTTTAACTCGATTCTTTTAACTTTAACTCGATTTTGAATTTAATTGGAGCCTGAACCCGAGTTTCGCTGAGGTGGAATCCACTTTTTCTTTCTCGTTCGCCCCTTATTCTATCTATCGAATTCCAAAAAAAAAAAACAAGAAAAGAGGGGAACGAGAGACAAATATTTGATTCTATCTCTACTCTTCTTCACCCCTTTCTATGTCAATAACTAGAATGAAAAAAAAGGAAATGTCAACGCATCGGGGAATAAACGATTGATTTCTATCAATAAACCTGCTAAAGACCCGAACCATAGAGTACTTAGTACCGGGGCCACGGAAAGATATGTTTTTAGATCTCGCATTGAAAATCCTCCTTCTTTTTTTTTTGTATTCCATATTGTAATACATTATGGTAAGAGATGTATATGTAGTTAAAGACCCCTTCTATTTGTGTGCGGAATCCCTAATTCAAATTGAAATGGGCAATGATTCGGTAGATAAGATTTTTTTTCTTTTTCTTAAAGCAGAAAAAAGGGTCCCTTTCCGTCTGAGAATTCCCGAGAAAAATATTTTTTTTTTATTATATGTTATATGATATGAGACGAAAAAAAAAAGAAATGCCGGGATCCATTTTGCATATCAATGGAGGAAAGAGAATAAGGATGTGGAAAACAAGACGGGGATTCTCTACAATGATACTGTAGACCAATTGAAAGGGATGTAGCGCAGCTTGGTAGCGCGTTTGTTTTGGGTACAAAATGTCACGGGTTCAAATCCTGTCATCCCTACCTATTACTGTTCAGAGGAACAGTAACGAGAGATCCATTTTGATCGATTCAATTTGGACATACATAATCTTTAATGATATGTGATAGTATACACATGCAAGAAATATTTATCGGCGTTAGAAAAAAAAAAAGAATCCCCCTCCTTATAGTCTTTTCCGTTGTGATAAGAAAGCGCTCTTAGTTCAGTTCGGTAGAACGTGGGTCTCCAAAACCCGATGTCGTAGGTTCAAATCCTACAGAGCGTGATACCGCTCTTGCCTTGTTAGCTTGGTAGATCGAAAATTACACTAAACTGAAATAATTGAACAGCAATCTGAATTTGACCTTGACCTCCCCCGGATTAAATTAAATAAAATTAAATTAAGTAAGGGGGGGTCAGTTAAAAAAAGAGATGTTAATTAATCAAAGGTCCAACTGATCACCACGTCTGTATTGTAAATATGCGGTTACGAATAATCCAGCCAAAGTAATAGGAATTAGACCTAAGACGATTCCAAATAGAAAAACTTCAATCATTTCAATTTCATTTCTTTGAAAGGGGGAAAAGAGAGGTAATATCTATCCCTAAATATTAATCCGTATTGTCTAGGAATCTCAATGCCCAATAATTGGTAATTAACACGGTAAGGAACTAGAGAATATCTGGAATACCACAGAAGGATTTCTTTTTATGAATTATTCATTCAATGAATTTCAAATAAGTCCTATCTTATTCAGACCAATAAATAGAGCCGAAGTTATAGTTAAAGCCGCTAGTAGAAAACCGAAATAACTAGTTATAGTAGGCATGAAGGAGCTAAAGGAAATATCTTCTTTTTATACATATGTTTATAAAGCACTTCCCTAAGTTTCAACTTTTAAAAGATACGAGGATAAGCAAAAATACCCTATCAATTGAAAGTTTTTGATTCATCAATCTTTATAAAAGGTACTAACAAAAATCGAGTGGCAGGGATAGAAAAAGAAATCAATTCATAATCTTTGACATTTGACATGGACCCATCTCACGATTCCGAATCAAGAGATTCGTTGGGCAACTCTTGAGTAAACTAATATTCAAATAATAATCAAAACTGTGTCATATAACTTCATTCCAAAAACGAAATTCTTTTTAAATCAATATGGAACAAACTTGGGGAATCGCTTCCATTTTGTATTTTGATTTTTTCTTTTTTATTGTATCTAATACATTTTCGAGTTTCGAATAAAGAGTGAACTTATACCTTACTTATACCTTATAATACCCTTTCTTTACTTTTTTTTCCTTTTTTTTTGTTTTGACTTTCGTTTATTTACTTTAATTGTTTTTAACTCATTAGATTCAGCAATAGGTTCATTCCCATAAGATCTCAAATGAGAATAAAAAAAGGTATGGCACGATCAGTCGAAAAAATCAAATTTTTATTTCGGTCCAATTAGATTCTAAAACTAATAATTCCTATTATCTTTTTCTTTCTAGATTTTACATTTTGTCTTTTCATATTCTTTTTATATATATAAAGCATAAAGCGCTTTCTCCTTGTAGTAAAGCCCGTTCTCCTTGTAGTTAGGTCAAGAAAAAACTTTGGATCTAATAGAACAAAACAATGCGCCCATCACAAATATCGATTATTAGAAGAGAAGCCTTTATAAGCGTTTTTCTCCTTCTTTTATCGAATCCTATCTACCACCGTTACTTGTTTCTCGCCGACTAAGCAATTCCTTAAAAAAAAAAGAGGGGGATTACAACAAAAAACCTCTTCTACACCTACGAAAAGGGGATTTGTAGATTTCACATCTACTTGAAGTGGGGAAATATGATAATCTTCGTCATGAATTATTATTATTAGAAAAAGAAAACAATTTGTCGGATTTCCATTTTACCTGATCTTCAATTTCTAGTCCGAAGCCGATAATGGAAATGGAGAGAAAAGAAACCCCATACTACAGAAATTTGATGAATTTTCTATTGAATGGTACACAGTTATACATCGACCAGCAAGAAGAAACGAAGAAAACAATTATCTAGCCCCGCATTTCGATACTGATTGAGGTTGCGTTGCTGTGTCAGAAGAAGGATAGCTATACTGATTCGGTATATTCTAAAAATACCCTTGGTACTATATTGACGATCTCACAAAGATTGAAATTCAGTGAATTTCCATTTACTGATCTTATCTTTTACGGAATCGATCCCCCTTTGACTGTACAAGAATATGTGGAGCTCAGCATGTCTGGAAGCACAGGAGAACGTTCTTTTGCCGATATTATTACCAGTATTCGATACTGGGTCATTCATAGCATTACTATACCTTCCCTATTCATTGCGGGTTGGTTATTTGTCAGCACGGGTTTAGCTTACGATGTGTTTGGGAGCCCTCGTCCAAACGAGTATTTTACAGAGAGCCGACAAGGAATTCCATTAATAACCGGCCGTTTTGATTCTTTGGAGCAACTCGATGAATTTAGTAGATCTTTTTAGGAGGACCCAATGACCATAGATCGAACCTATCCAATTTTTACAGTGCGATGGTTGGCTGTTCACGGACTAGCTGTACCTACCGTTTCTTTTTTGGGGTCAATATCAGCAATGCAGTTCATCCAACGATAAACCTAATCCGAATTAGAGAGCTATGACACAATCAAACCCGAACGAACAAAATGTTGAATTGAATCGTACCAGTCTTTACTGGGGGTTATTACTCATTTTTGTACTTGCTGTTTTATTTTCCAATTATTTCTTCAATTAAGAGAAGAAAAGAGAATAGTAGAATAATAAAAAATAGTAGGAATTCTCTTATCCCATTCGGACGGATCGCATCTTATAATTATCTATGACTGTTTATGTCTCTAGCATGACCACTTGATAAAATGTGGAGGGAAGCGGGATAAATGGCCGATACTACTGGAAGGATTCCTCTTTGGATAATAGGTACTGTAACGGGTATTCTTGTGATCGGTTTAATAGGCATTTTCTTTTATGGTTCATATTCCGGATTGGGTTCGTCCTTGTAGTAATCGGATGAATTTCGTTATAGACATGAAAGCGTAAGAACTCGACGGGGCCTATCACTTATTTCTTTGTCTGATTCGAGGGGTAGGGCCCCGTTGAGTTCTTAATAATCATAATATTCTGTTTTGTTCGTATATGTATAAACGACAAAATAGATCACTTTTCCGATGCTTCAAAAAATTCCATTTCATTTTTTTCTGATGATTTTTTTTTTAATTAACTTGCTTAATTGATTTAGAACATTTGTTCCCCGATAGTATCTATCGATACTTTCAAAGTTAGAAGAAAGTAAGCAATCACTCAATTTCTTTTTCCTGGATCACAGAATCACAATTCATGTATATATAGATTTCTTTCGATCAGATATTAAGAAATACAAAAAAAAAGTTCTGATAAGCCTGGAAAAAATCTAAACTAAGAATATCAGAATAGGAATCTTTGACGAATGGAATCAAAAACCATTATTATTTCGATTTCGACACCAGAAAGGGATGTGGAAAATTCCCTTTCTGGTGTCGAGGGCTAGGACGACGAATAATACCTTTTAGAATCCCTTGTTACCCTCATTTCTCCTTCCTTTCTTTATCTTCTCCGCTTACTTTTTTACTTTTATCTTATTTTAGTATCTTGTTCTAGTCGAATTTGATTCTATTAGAATAGAAAACTATTGACACATTCTAGGATATTTAAATCTGACAATAGTAACATAGTCACACCCCTCCAATCTCCAATTTGGATTGAAAAACCAACGAAGGGGTAAAATAAAATACCCGTCTTCACAATGTTGCTAAATCCACGGATCTAGAAATTCATTTCGGACAATTGAACCTTCTCAAACTGTTTCTTTTTAAGAACCAAAAAGATTTGTGCCAAAACAACAGATGCCAAAAAGACCAAAAGGCCTTGGACACGTAATGGGTCTTGAAGTACTATTTCTGCATCTCCCTGCCCAAATCCACCCACATTAGGATTACTTGTTAATGGTTGATCAAGTTTGATAGATTCGCCCTCTGAAACACGAAGTTCTGGTCCTGGGGGGATAATATCAACCACTTCACGTCCGTCCGATGCATTGGCTATGGTTATTTCGTACCCCCCTTTTTCTTTTCGTATGATTTTGCTTACTATACCTGCCGCTGTAGCATTATAAACTGTATTGTTACTTTTGGTCCCGTCGGGATAAATCTGACCCCTTCCCCTGTTACCACCTACGTATATTGGATATTTTAAGAAGTGAATATCTTTATTAGTCGCGGGGTCCGGGGAAAGAATAGGAAAAGTGATTTCACTATATTTCTGCCCAGGCACTGGCCCTATCACAAGAATATTTTTTTTAGTGGGACGGTAGTTCTGAAAAGACAGATTGCCTATCTTTTCTTTCATCTCGGGCGAAATACGATCAGGGGGGGCTAATTCAAACCCCTCTGGTAAAATAAGAACGGCCCCTACATTCAAAGCCCCCTTTTTACCATTAGCAAGAACTTGTTTCAGTTGCATATCATAAGGAATTCTAACAACTGCTTCAAATACAGTATCAGGAAGTATGGCCTGTGGAACCTCAATATCCACAGGCTTATTAGCTAAATGGCAATTGGCACATACAATACGACCAGTTGCTTCTCGTGGATTTTCAAAACCCTGCTGCGCAAAAATGGGATACGCATTTGAAATGGATGCCCGAGTTATTATATATATCATGAACGATACGGAAATGAATCGAGTAATCTCTTCCTTTATCGAAGAAAGGGTATTTCTAATTTGCATGGTCCAATCGTTGATGCCGAAAATTTCTACAATAAAATTGGGTGGGTCACTAGTATAGTTCCCCATCCACGATTCTGCTATTTACTGAAATAATTTTACTGGAATATCAGATTACTGGAATATAGGAGTAATCCTCTCGATGGGTAGAAAGAGTAAGGTAAAAGGTAAGTACGACTTTGAATGTTTTGCTTATGTACAAAGTCTGAAACATTCTAATTGGATCAGTGAATCGTTTTTCAGTCATTCATTGAATGATAAATCACTACAAGTGACGGAGATACACGATTTAAATAACGAAAAATCCAATATTTCAAAATTGTATCTAAAATGACTGGAAAAGTGGAAACAAGACCAGATATAATTTGATCATTATGAGCAAATCCAAAATCGTTGTAGACATAGCCAATCATTAGTTCCCAACCGTGGGGCGAATGGAATCCGATACATAAATCAGTTACTAAAAGAATCGAAAAGGCTTTTATTGTGTCGCTTAAATTATATAGGAATTCTTGAACCCAAGAGTTAAGAATAACAAGTTCCTCATTACCCAGAATAGAATAACCGCTTAGAATAACGAAAGAGATTATATTTGTCGAGAAGTGCAAAATCGTATGGATATGATCCTCGTCGTGCATCTTGATCAATTGGATTGTTTCTTTGTGGAGCCCTATACGAAGCTTTTGTAGATGCCTTTCCGGGAATTCCTTTATCATTTCGTCCAAGAGGAATAGTTCCTCTAATTCTATGAATTTTTCTAGAATACTCTTTTCTTGAATATCATTCAAGAAAGTTTCGGATTGCCTAGTATTCCACCAATTAGTAATCCAAGATTCCAGACTTTTATTAAATGAGAGAGAAATCCACCAGGGCAAGAATACTAAAAATACTATAGATGAGAGATATCTAATGGGAATGGGTGCGTTCTTTTTTGTCATTTTTTCATCTGTGAATTGTTACTGAAACCACCTCATTTGTTGACTCTATTCGATCTAATATTTCGATCCAAGCATGAGTTCTATTATAAGGTATCGCGCCTATGAATCGAGTCTCGGTTTTTTAGTTGTGATTCAGCAGTTAGTCCTTGAATCTAGTGTAGAAAAAATCCAAAAATAGAAGAAGAATCCATTTCGAATTCAAATGAAGAAATAATCCAAAAATTTTGTTTCCAGATATCTCAATTGATCAAATATTCGAAGCAACCCCCCCCCTTTTTTCGATGAATGCCCAAAAGATTCAAATTCAAATAATGAATATTATTCGGATTTCGAAATGAAAGAACTTCCTTCCTAGTAAGAATTAAAATACCTTCCTAGTAAGAATTAAAATAGAAAATATTTCGAAAAAAAAAAATTCGCAGGCTGTCCAGAGCATAATCCATGAATATTTGAAGGAATATTTGAGAGAATTTTCTGAAGAATATTGTGATAATCAAAAACGAGTGGCAAAAAAAGAAAGAAAAGTTCTCATTCTAAGAGATCCAATTGTTTGGTCATTAAGAAAGACAAAAGAAAGGATAAAAAGGGTCCATTACCAAAAGAAAATAGAGATAATTTCCAAGATATGATCTATCCATATCTAACGTATGAATTCAAAATATTGAAAATAAAAAAAAAAAGCTAAATTTTTTATTCCGAAAAGTTTTGATATATGAGATCAATCTATTATTTCGATTTGTTACTTCTTTTGTTACTGAATTGAATTGAGTGGGGATTTCCATACGCAAAAAAAACCATTTTTTTACAGACAAAAAAGGTTTCGTTTTATGTTATGGCTGTTCCATACACGTTTGCCTTGCTTTGGCCCCACTGGACATTCTGAAGAAACTTCAATTAAGTAAGTTATGCTATAGAAAAAAAGGATTCTTGGGTTTGTTCCTCCGGCTAAGAAAGCATTTACTCTTCAGTTCATTTTTCAAAAAACTTCAATTGGTACGCGCAAGAAATAGGCTAATTCCGCAGCCTTTTGCTCAATTTCGCGCGGAGTCAAATTCTCATCAGTACGAGTCAACGGAATAGCCCCCAGGCCTCTAATTTCCATATAAAGGACACGACGAGCATAAATACCCTCTTTCACTTCTATTCTGATGGACTGAATATCTTTCATAAGGAATCGTAGAAAGATGCGGCGATTTTTTCCAGGAAATCCCCAACGAAAAATACACACTATTCCTTCTTTTCGATCAAATCGATCATAACCGCTACCGACATTCCATGTAATTGTGCACCACAAATAGGAACTAACAAAGAGACCCGCGATCCCATAGAAAGACATCACGATCCCTTGTGGGAAAAAACGGATTTGCTGAGACGGAAATAAAGATATCAAATTCCTATCAAGATAACTAGAAATTCCAACCAATAAGAATCCTAATGAACCTAAAAAAAGGATAAAGGCCCAGCAGAAATTACTTGTTTTGCGAGATCCTGCTATAAATTCTATCCATATATATTCTGATCGCCAACTCATACATACTAGACCCAGTTGCATTTTCTTGGAATTGAGGGAATAACCAAAATCAATTTGACTTTACTTTTTTTTTTGTTTCCGAAGTAACTTTCATCAACTAGTACTATTCTGATGTGAACTTTTAGCAGTAATTCATCAAATTAGTTAGATATAATATATAATAAAATAAGAACATCCCTTTCATAGGATTCCCTATAGATAGATATAGATTAGATAGCTACATACATATAGATACATTGACTAAAATTTCAGACATGAGCTCGGATACTGGCCTATTTTTGAAAATAGATAGAATTCATTTACCCATATATCATGTTTATGCATGCATAAGAGCTCTTTCATTTATGTTCGCAGAAAGCCGCCTGTTATTTCTTATTGTTATACAATACTCTACTAAATGGATATCCGTGCCGTGTTTGCTAAGTCTTGAAAAAAAACTAGAGGAGATTTGACCCCATCGGATTTACAAAATCTTATTTTTTTGAACATGAAGAGATAAAGAAGCCATTGCAATTGCCGGAAATACTAGGCCCACTAACGGCACAAAAATAGAGGGTAAGTTATTGAGAATTGTCATAGAATGGGTACCTCGATTTCATATTTGTACCTCTCTTATTATTATAAAGATATCTTATAATAATTAGAATTCATATTAGAATTCGTATAGAAGTATACTAAGTATATATACTAAGTATATCTAAGTGAGTCTATAGAATAAGTGCAAGGAATGTAGAACTAAATAAACGGACTTATTCATCTTTCTACATGAAATATATGTTATGTATGATAATCCACTTTCTTTATTATTCTATTCTTACTTCTTTTATTTTTCTATTGTTCTTAATATTCTAATTTATTTTTTAATATTTAATACAAAAAGAGTTTTTTACCAAATTCCCGAAAGATTCGTTAGAATCCGATCCAATATCCAATAGCAAGGATTCTTAGAAAAAATGGGACTTCTTGGGAGATATAGAAAGATGCAAGATTCTATATTTTTTCTATATTTGAGTTCTATATATACATATGCAAAATACATATCAAAAGGGGACCCCGAAATTCGTTTTATTTGCCTTGCCCCCGAATTCTAAGGAAGAATTCGCTTTTTATCTTGTTTTGTTGATAGAGGGTTACTGATTAGTAATCAGGAATATCGGTAAAAAAAAAATAATTATCCGCATGATTCTTTATACAAATACAATTAAATCTTATGTCACCAAAGAAAAGTCCATTCTTTATTTATTTTGATTCTGATAAATTAACTAACTAATTGGTCACCACAAAAAAAAATTTAACTTAAGACTCTACTTGATTGAATTTTATTCAAAGGAAAAAAAGCGTGGAGCTGAAATAACTCACTCAGAACACCTTTTAAAGGATTACGTGGTACGATTGGATCGAATAAGCCCTTATGGAATAAATATTCAGACGCTTGTGAACCTTCAGGTACTGCCTTATTCAATGTTTGTTCAATTACTCTTTTACCCGCAAAGGCAATATAGGCATTCGGTTCGGCAATAATGATATCCCCCAACATACCAAAACTAGCTGTCACTCCACCAGTAGTAGGAGATGTAAGAATTGATACATAGAATAACTTTTGATTTGATTGATAATCATATAAAGCGGAAGATATTTTAGCCATTTGCATCAAGCTCAAACTTCCTTCTTGCATCCGTGCTCCTCCGGAAGCACACACCAGAATAAGAGGTAAAAATTTATTGGTAGCATACTCGATCAAACGGGTGATTTTCTCACCTACTACGGATCCCATACTACCCCCCATAAACTGAAAATCCATAACCCCAATTGCGATGGGAATCCCATTTAGTTGACCTGTACCTGTTTGAACAGCCTCTGTTAATCCCGTCTTTCTTTGATAAGAATCAATACGATTTTTATAAGGTTCCTCTTCGGAATGAAATTCAATGGGATCCAGAGAGACCATGTCGTCATCCATCGGATCCCAAGTACCTGGATCAATCGAAAGTTCGATTCTATCTGAACTACTCATTTTCAAATGATATCCGCATTGTTCACAAATATTCATTTTTGACTTCAAAATTTTCTTATAATTTAATCCATAACAATTTTCGCATTGAATCCATAAATGCCTGTATTTTTGAGTTACTTCGAGATCATTAGAACTTTCTCTTCTACTTCTAGTTAAATGACTACCATTCGGGCTAGTTTTTATATTGGAACTATCGCTTTCACTACTATTTCCACTTTCGCCACAAATGTAATTATAAATGTAACTGTCACTGTAATTTTCACTACTACTTAAAACGTGACTATCGATACAGATTTGAGAATGAAGATAAGAATCAACGCAATTATTAATGTGATTATTCCAACTAGATTGAGTATCATGCATGTAACGATCATAGTCGGGATCGTCCCTTTTCGATCTATTATTCCTATAATTAGAATTACGAAAACTATAAAAAGAACTTTCTAGTTTACTCAGAAAAGAATGATCATTGTCAATCTCAAAAATTTGATTTTCAATATCAAAATATATGGAATAACCGTCCCTATTACTATCCCTAACAAAAAAGGTGTCATCGGAGATGAAATTCCGAATGTCCCTGACGCCAACGAAATGATCAACATTACTGTAACTAGAACTCTCACTATCACCCCAACGATGAATGTTTTTATCCTTATCATTTATAACCGGGTCCTCGCTTACACTGGTATTTTTAATAGGACCAAGGCGATCCATTGATTTACTTAGTCCACACCTGTATTCGAATTCCCCTTTAGATAACATCGAATTGAACCACAATTTTTCCATAGAGCTTTCTTGCCCCTACCTATTTACATGAAAATACAAGAGATGAATAGTCAATTGAAAGAAATCATTCTCTTTTGTTTTTGGGAGACCGCGGAGCTCACTTCAATATATAGGATCTTTTTCAATTATAAATAGCAGTTGCCCCCATATTGTGTAAAATGCGCATCGAAAAAAGAAATATTTGCTCTGGCCTATGAATATGAAGAACTTTTTTCGTAAAATCCCGTCTACTAATACTAATAAATAAGTTTCTATTTATTTATATTCCAACACGGAACAAAACGGACAATATACAGGATGGGTAGAAGAAGTTGTGATACTTGTCTCGATCCATGACGAAACTACGGGATATAAAAGAATACACCAATCCTAAGGCCCCATAGGATTCATTGTGGGCCCAACACAACAATAGAAAGAGTTGTATTTAGTCTTCTATTTTGTATTTAAGTCTATTTTGTATTTAAGATTGTATTTAAGATCTTGTATATCTAGAGAAATATGTAGCTATCCAAAAGATATACAATAGAATTGTTGGGTTCGGCTCAATCCTTTTAGTAAAAGATTGGGCCGAGTTTAATTGCAATTCAACTAATAAACCAAACGTTAATTACTGGATTACAAAGTATCCATTGCTTCGAATTCAAATTTGATCTCTTTCCATACTTCACA